TACTGATCTAAAACATATCTTAATATAAATTCCACACTTCTGGAAGTTCCTATCCTCCCTAACACTTTCAATTCACTCTATACGAAGTAAGAATGAAATTCACAGTAGAGCTATCATATCATCTGCAGTTGTCAGGATTGCTAATAGCCCTTTAGTGGTCTTTTTTAAAGTATTATCAGTATTTTCCATTCTATATCTTTTGCATATTTAACAGTTATTTTTCACTACTAATATGTGCATTTTCCAACTTTCATTGACATTTCAAGAGTAAGATAAATAAAAAATACAAATGTTCCAGGAACTTTTCCCCAGTGGCTAAAGTCACAATTTACTGACCCTCATATAAATGTATTCTAACTTGGCAACACATTATAAAGAACCTGATAATTTAGACTGCAGATGTATTCATGATATGCTAAAGATTAATGTAAATGTAAAATCACCATTTCAACACATACTGTAATATGCAGAGGACACTTGATTTCTTAAATCCCTTACAAAAAGAGAATATTCACTAAAAACTGTCATTGGCTGCCTAATCATAATTCAGGCATTAATATTTCATATTAAGCATTTTATATATTATAGTAAACAAATTCCCTGGAAAAGTTTTTCTAAGTTATTTTTCAATTACTCTCTGTTGTTAAGAAAGGTTATTAAGTTTAAAGTCAAGTTGCAGACAATATCAAAAATTAGAGAAATGAGCAGAACTTATATATGATGAATCAAAGGAAATATACAGAAATTAGTTTCTTTTATAGCAGTGTCTATATATTTATTGGGAGCTCTGGTAGCATAGTGGCTAAGGCACTTGACTGCTAACCAGAAGTATGGCGGTTCAAACCCACCAGCCATTCCTCGGAAGGAAGGTTGGGCAATCCTACTTCCATAGTGATACTGCCTCGGAAACCCAAGGAGGGGTCGCTATGAGTCAGGGCTGACTCGACGGCACATAACAACAACAACATATATTTATTAAATTATATATGCATTGTACATACATATTACAATGAAAAATGTGTTAATACATTACAACAATCACTAGATTCCAAAAGTCCTACTCTTCAGCTAGTATACAGTATCTTAAGAAACGGAAACATTTATGCCTATAGTTGTCACTGACTCTGGACAATAAAAAAAAAAAACCAGATCAGGTACATAAAGATTACAATCTCTAATCTCTAATTTGCTATGTAGACTTTCACCTAAAACACAATAAAATATTATTATTATTTTTTTAATTATAGTCACTAACTACTTCTGAATGCATGCTAGGCTAAAAGCCACATTATATTTGTTCAGTTGAACCCTGTGAATCTGGGAGCTACCAGTAATCACTCACATCCTTTTCTCCTAAATAACATATGATAAATTATTTATCTTCATCCTATAAAAGGATTTTTTTTTCAGCTGTAATTTTCTTGTATGGGAAGAGAGGTAATTACTCAAGTTTAAATAAAATCTAACTACAAAAGTTGTATAATACAATAGGAAAAACACATTGTATGGTAAAATAATCTGAAATACATATGTTACAAGAAAATTCAACTCATGCTATAAAAATTTTACTTTCCCTTAGCAGTAAATCATTGTTAGAAATATAGTGAAAATAAATTAGGAAAACACTTAACATACAGTGCTAAAAAGTTTACAAACACAGGAATCTACTTTCTTTAGTCTTTTAAAAGAAGGTTTTATAAAGAGTATTTAAAAAAATAATTTTAAAAATCTCATTAAGGCGCTACTAATGTAGCTTTTAGAAGCAGCTCTGGTGGCATAGTGAATAAGGCATTTTTGGCTGCTAACCAGAAGGTCAATCGTTCAAACACCAGCCACTCTGTGTAAGGGAGATGGGGTAATCTACTTCTGCAAAGATTTATAGCCTCAGAAACCCAATGAGTACTTGAACCACTGTACCACAGGGCTCCTTTTTGGGAAGTATAGTGTGTGGGGTCACTATGAGTTGGAATTGACTCAATGGTAGTGATTTTGGTTTTTTGGAATATGCATTTTAAGGAGCTCTGGTAGCACAGTGATTAAGGCCTTCGTTTGCTAACCAAAAAGTCAGCAGTTTGAACCCATCAGCCACTTAGCGAGAGAAAGACAAAGTATTTGGCTTTGGTTAATTTACAGCCTTGGAAACCCTATGGGGCAGTTCTACTCTCTCCTACTGGGTTGCTATGAGTCAGAACTGACTTGATTGCAGCGAGTTTGGTTCTGCAATGTGGATTTTGCTGTTTTTTTGCTCTCAACTCAGTAGATTAGTGTGGAAGAGTTGGATAAATTATCAGTGTGGTGGTGTAGTGCCTAAGGCATTTGACTGCTATGCAGAAGTCTGGCGGTTCAAACGCACCAGCCATTCCTAGGAAGACTGGGCAATCTACTTCTGTAGAGCTACTGCCTCAGAAACCCCAGGAGGGGTCATTATGAGTCTGAATCCACTCGATGGCAGTGAAGTTTGGGTTTTTTTTTGAGGAGAGTGAAGGCCAAAAAATTATAAACGATTTTCAAATGCTTCTTGGAAAACTACTTTGAAAGCAAGCTATTACAAGAGTGTGGTGATTATAAAGCATATGTTACTAGCACACTTGATATATTACAGTAAGAAACCACTTGCATAAATACACATATATTTGAATTCTGTAATATATAAAAGTCAGTTGAATCTTTCAATTCCCCTCAACCCAACACACAAACTCCACCTCACTGGGGAGTAGAACAGAAAAACCAAACCTCTTGCCAATTCCGACTCAGCGAACATATAGGACAGAACAAAATTGCTGTATATGATTTCCAAAGGAACTCTGGTGGCACAGTGAGTAAGGCGTTTAGCTGCACATTTGGCTGCTAACCAGAAGATCAAGGATTCAAACCCACCAGTTGCTCCACTGAAGGAAGATAGGGCAATCTACTTTTGTAAAGATTTATAGCCTTCAGTCTTAGAAACCCACTGGGGGTCACTATGAGTTGGAATCAACTTGATGGCAGTGAGTTTGTCTGTTTGTTTTAAATATAGTTTCCAAGGCTGTAAATCTTTACAGAAGCAGACTGCCACATTTTTCTCTTCTGTAGCAGCTGGTGGATTCGAAACACCAACCTTTTTCTTAGCAGCCGAGTACTTTAACCACTGTACCACAGGGCTCCTTTTTGGAAAGTATAGTGTTAAGGAAAAAAGAAAATCTTAGATTTTGTTATGTTTTAATGAACTCGGCATAGATACACTTGAACTAACTGAAACAAATAAAAGTTAATATATGAATTTAAATGTAAAAACTGTCCAACTGAGATAAAAAATCAAATTATAAATCACATTAAACTATTAAAAAGTTTATCTAAATTTAAGTTCTAAGAAACTAAATTCTAAAAGAAATAATGCACACATTTTTAGGTTAACTTGTATAATACAACAGGAAACAAATAAAACTTTAATAAAAGTTAAAACAAAATCTCTACAATTTTAAGTTTTAATATAACAATAATTAATCACCACTCCGGTTATCCTAGAATAAATTCACAAAACGCATGTACAAGAATGTTCATTGTCATAGAGTTAGTAATAGCAAACATCCATTTAAAGAGGAAAGGTGGAGCTGACTAGACACCTTCATACTATTAAATACTATGTAATAGTTTAAAAGATTGAATGCATCTATTTTTAATTCCTGGGAAAGATTTCCAAGATGAAGTGCAGGAAAAGCAAGTGGCAGAAAAATGCTTGTATGCAGGACACACAGACAAGTAAAGTATTTCTATATGCACATATATGTCACTGAAGAATGCAAAGAACAAAGTCTAAAAGAATACTCAGCCAACAGATAAACATTGTTACTCCCAAAGGGATGAAGAAGAAACTGAAATGAAGGGGAATCACAGGAATTTTTGTTTCATTTTTATTGCTTGAGTTTTTCCAAGGAGAATGTATACACACATGGCTTACGATAAAATGAAAAAAAAAGGTAAGAATTAAAAATACAGGCTAGCTTCTCTCTATTTTATAAACCAGAACTGTCGGCTGTAATGAGATTTCATTTTCTTCTATTAAAGTCAAAACCAAATGACAGCAACAAATAGCAAAAAGCGGCAAAATTGAAAAAAAAATTCATTTGTTGTCTTTAAACACACACACACACGGGACGGGGGGAGGGGACTGAGACTCTAAAGTAAAAGCCTATACAGAACAAACAAAAAAACCTTATGTCCCTTTTTAAGAAACTGGACTTTTAGTTAGCTCAGGCATGACCCAGAATCCGCACAAAACCATGTTACCCAAAATGAGAAAAAAGTAGAAGACTGCTTGCTTCCTCAAGCACTGAGGGTTGTTTTTGGAAAGCCGAACTAAGAAACACAGTAAATGCCAACGAAGTGTGTTTTACGGGAGTGGGAATAGGAACGTGAAACCCTACACCACCTTAGGGCGGTCAAAACGAACTGAACTGCATAGTGGAACTGGGAAAACGCGGGGGTGGAGAGGGTGCTCAGCTATCACTTTTCGTTTTGGGCTCAGCGCCAGTTTTCGCGGAGTCTGTTTGGACCATGAAGTCCCAGAGGGTGGTGAACGTGTCGCAGCCGACACAAATTCTCCGGAGACTCAGGGGAGAGGGGGAATCAACAAAAACTTGGGTCCTTCGGCTAAGGAGAGCGTAGGAGATGAGCAAAAGCGCCAACTTTCGCTCCAAACGTAGCAGCTCCGTAAGACTCGGCAAGTCTTCTCCCCAGCCCCACCCTAGAAGCGACCCCTACACCTTTCCTCGCCAGTACAGTCCGCTCCCGGGCCGGCCCCCCGAGGAAAACCCAGAAAGGGCGGCGGCTGGCAGCATGAAAGGGGGGCTTGGTCTTAGGAGGACAGGCGCGGGGCGTCGATCGGGGTCCCACTCTGTACCCCAGAAATCCAGGGCGTCCCTGCTGAGACGCTGTCCTACCTCCAACAGCCCCTGCGGAGCGGCCCCCTCCCCCAACCCGGGCGGCGACCTCAGCGTCTCCGCCCCGGGGCCCCCGCTCACCCAGGTAGCGGCTCCGCAGCCGGGACGGGTCCTCCAGCCCGAGGGACCTTTTCCTTACGTCCCACAACAGGTGTGGGCAGCAGCCACCCCGAGACATGGCTCAGCGGGAGCCGGGGCAGGAGGGGAGACTCCCCCGATTGGGGGAGGGGAGGAGAGGGAGGGGACAGGCAGATCAACACCCAAGCCGCACCGGCACCATCCGCGCGCTGGTCCTCGCAGACACAGCGACTTAGATGGCGGCGGCGGCGCCTTCGCCTCCGAAGCCCGGCCGCACCCGGGCGGGAGCTAGCTTCATACTCTCCTCAGACTACCCAGAACATCAGAAATCAGCAACAGTCCCCTCCCTCGGCGCCCCCCTCCAGCAGGAGGCGGAGGCGGCCGCGACTCCTCCCTCTCCTGGTCCAGGACACCCGCCCCTTCACGCCTTTCTCGCGAGATGACGACCACCCCCGGGACTGAGGCAGGTGTGCGCCACGGCTGCCCGCACCCTAGAAAAGTGATTTCAGGCTACTGTAGTCAGATTTTTAATAGTCTATGGATAAAAGAGGAGTGAAGAGAGAAGGAGCTGAGATCTGTAGTCTCTTGTTCAGGGACCTTATGTCAAAAGAAGAAGAAGAGTTGTGCGGCGTCATCTTTAGTTTGGGCACGGAAGGACCGAAAAGCCTATTTTTAACTACAGGCTGCCTTAAAGTGAAGGGAGTTTAGAAGCGGGTCGAAGCTTCATTTTCCCTTCTCCAACATGGCCTCGAGGGCAAAAAGGAGAAGTTGGAGGTTCCCGCCTGACCCTGCCCGCGCCGTGGAGCGGGCCAATCAGCGTGGGCAGCTAAGTTTGCGCAAGCGCGCTGCCAGGAGGGCGCTGGGTGACTTGGTGAGTCAATCCCTTTGGCACCTGTTGCCTTGACTCCTCCCCATATTTATACGCTGGAGGGCAGGAGGCGGACCCGGGGTGGGCCATCGCGGAGCCTCCGCCCCCTCGGCCTTTGCTGGACCGGGGCCCCTGGGTGGCGCGCTGAGAGCAACCTGCGCGGTGGAAAGGCACCCTAGGGGAGAGAAGGACGCGAGGCGCTGTGGCAGGGGAAAGTGACGAGTTGCCCTTCGTTGTCAGCCAAAGAAAAGGACACAGCGACTCTCCCACCCGGCTGCCCACAATTTCTCGGCGGCGGAGATGGCGGCCGCTGGCGCCCGAGGCCTGCGGGCCACCTACCACCGGGTCCTAGATAAAGTGGAGCTGATGTTACCCGAGAAATTGAGGCCGCTGTACAACCACCCGGCAGGTAATGGTGTCAGAATGGCTTCCACCGAGACCGTCCCTTCCTCTTCCTCCAAAATGTCAGTAGCTGCTCACCGACAACTCTGCTGCAGGCATCCCCCTCAACCCCAAACCCTCCCCTCAAATGAATCCTTCTGCTTTTCCAACCTTTGTACTTCACCATCTCGCCTCCAACATCTCTCCCAAACCTGTGGTCCTAAAGTCAACGTCTTTCCCCACCTTTGTTGCATCCATCCCTTACGCACCACTCACACCCGAGCCGGCCTTTCGGATTTGAGCCTTCTCAATTTCTGCCCCCACGAAAGTGTCCGGGCCGCCACTAAACCCTCATTCTCCTGCTCTTTCCTTCACGATTAGTGGTATGTTAACCCACGCGGAGCAGGGACAGATGGCCAGTGGAATCCGAGGTTTTGGATTAAAGGTCATTCTTCTTTAGTTAGGAGCTCTGGTGGCGTAATGCCTAAGGCATTTGGCTACTAACCAGAAGGCTGGCGGTTCAAACCCACCAGCCACTCCTCCGAACGAAGATTGGGCAATCTACTTCCGTAGTGATACTGCCTCGGAAACCCAAGGAGGGGTCGCTATGAATCAGATCCGACTCCACAGCAGTGAGGTTGGTGATTGGTTCCTCCTTTAGCCGCGGCTGGTAGGGGCCTGCAGATGGAGCCTTCCCCCAAACTGCACGGGTTACCAGTTTTCACATGTGGTGAAGTCCTTCCTTATCCCATAAGGAAGATTTATTTTTAAATCTGTCCTTATTTATGAAAATACTAAACATTATTCTGTAGACGACTGGGATTTTAATTCTGCTTGAGCATTTACGTGACCTTGGGTAGTATCCTAGATCTCTGAGTTAGTTTCTGTAAAAGGTGAGAATTGAAGACAGCGTATGTTTCGTTCTTCATAGATGCTACGTAAATGTTCGTTTTCTCGGTAAATTAGCTCTTTCTGGTCCTACTGGAAAAGTAATATTCTTGTGGTTGAAAAAAATAATTGCAACAAGCTGGAAGACTCCAATCCCTCTCACTCTTTATTAAAGATACTCTTGACTATACTAGAATTCTGTTATTTCTTCTAGAAAATGGGCAGTAATAATACTTGGCTGGAGGCTAAAATCAGATATCTTCTTAGGTCTCTTTCAGGCCTCACACTCTCACTGCCATCAAGTCCATTCTGACCCATAGTGACCCCACTGGGTTTCCTAGGAAGGTAAACCTTTATGGAAGCAGACTGCCTCATCTGTCTTCCGCGGAACAGCTGGTGGGTTTGAACCACCAAGCTTTTGGTTAGTAGCCAAATGTTTTAACCACTACACCACCAGAGCTCCTTTCTTTCAAGCCTAAAACTTATCAAATGCGAAAATATGTTATAATTGTGAAAGATTAAACTGCTGCCCCCAAAAAAGGTGGCCTTTTCGCCTACATAATTCAATCTGCCTTTTGCATTTGCTGTTATTAGGACGGTTGTCTGGTTCCTCCCATGTCTGATTATGAAGCAGCTCTCAGGAGCCTGAGCTGATTACTGTATCAGATTACCAGTTTGATAATGGAATAAATTAATTTGGGATTTTACTTCAGTTTAACTTTTAGTCCTGTTTACAGTAAATCTCCCAGGGATTTGAATGGCTGACTCCTACTTGCTTTTTAATGTTGTGTAAATTTGCCACTCCTCGGAAGGAAGGTTGGGCAATCCTACTTCTGTAGTGATACTGCCTCGGAAACCCAAGGAGGGGTCGCTATGAGTCGGGCCGACTCGAGGGCACATAACAACAACAACAACAAATTTGTCCTCACTTTGAAACAGTCGAACCCCTACTCGTGAAAAATTCATCACGCTTCATTTGCAGCATTTGCAGATTTTAAATCATTGGAAAAGGCTTGGAGCCTTTATTGCACAAAAAACCGAACCGAACCCACTGCTATGGAGTCAATTTCTACTCAAACCGACATTCCAGGACAGAGTGGAACTGCCCCACAGGGTTTCCAAGGTTATAAGTCGTTAAGGAAGCAGATTGCCTCATCTTTCTTCCATGGTGGGGCTAGTAGGTTCAAACCACTGACCTTTCAGTTAGCCAAATGGATATTCAAGCTTTTTGCATCTAGTAATAGTATTTTTTATTGAATCACCATTTAAGCATTAAGCTGTATTCACATACAGGGGATTTTTAAAACAATATGCAAGGCTTGGATATTAACTGTTGGAAATCATACCTTAATTGATTGTGATTTTTGAGATTTAGTTTATTGCTTACAAGTGTATCTAAACAGGTAACATGAGTATGTCTTTAAATAGAAATAATAGTTATTTATTATTTCTTTAAATAGAGATAATGGTATCACATACATGACCTATGACCCAAATCAACCCCGTCATCATGATCCATCTCTGTAGAGGTAGAACAGAGTGCTAACCAAATATTATGTCCCAGTCAATTCTTCAACTCTCTTAACAGTATGTAACTTTCCCACCATCTTCTAACTATATAAATTTGTGACTCCACATTAACCAGCTTCATAGTTATTCTCTAGGTTTTTGTCTGTCCAAGACTACAATCTTGAAATCATGCTGCCTGTTGTTTACTTGAAGGAGCCCTGATAGTGCAGTGGTTAAAGTGCTTGGCTACTAACAAAGGTCAGTGGTTGGAACCTACCAGACACTTCCTAGGAGCAAGATATTTACTTGAAAGAAAGATTGTTTACTTAAAAGCTTAGCTGATAAAAGCCATTAGTGGAGGAATGTCATTCCTTTATATTTTTTTGATCTTCAAAGTAGGATGAGTCTTCCAAGGAATGTACAAAATGAAACTTAGGAGTGTAGGAACAAAAGAGTTTGCTTTTACTTCAGCCTTTAAAAATTTACATTGGATATATGGGAGCTCTGGTAGCATAGTGCCTAAGGCATTTGACTGCTAACCAGAAGGCTGGTGATTCAAACCCACCAGACACTCAACCCACCAGCCACTCCTTGGAAGGAAGATGTGGCAATCTACTCCGTAGTGATACAGCCTTGGAAACCCAAGGAGGGGTCACTACAAGTCGGGTCTGACTCGACAGCACATAACAACAACATATATGTTTATAAGTACAGCAATATGTGTAATGTGTGTGTGAGTGTATATATATGGTTTATGAATAGCTATATATAAATATATATGTTGTTGTTGTTGTTATGTGCTGTCGAGTCGGCCCGACTCATAGCAACCCCTCCTTGGGTTTCCGAGGCAGTGTCACTACGGAAGTAGGATTGCCCAACCTTCCTTCCGAGGAGTGGCTGGTGGGTTTGAACCGCCAGCCTTCTGGTTAGCAGTCAAATGCTTCAGCCACTATGCTACCAGAGCTCCTATAAACACTGGTAATATTGGTTTATTCAGTAATTTTGATTTTTAAAACATTCTCAGAGTCTTTAAGATAATAAAATATGCAACAATCCACTTAAGAAAACTGTAACTAGTCTTGTTAGTAAGACCTCATTTAAAGTAACTTCTATGAATCTTCAGAGGGAAGACTATGTCATATAGAGAATGATATTTCTCAGCAGCAGTACACTAAACATTGCAACAAGTTTCACAGAACTTTTCTTTAAAATGCTCTTCCATTTAAGCCAAAATGTAATATGATGTGTGCTCAAAATTGTATAACTAATGGGGCATGTATTCAAAAGAAATCTGGAGACCACAGCTCTAAGAAGTCTAAAAATTATCCTTTAGTTAAGTCAGAACAGAAAGCTGCTTGCTATAGGAACCATATCAGTTTAGCACACTGTAGCTTTGCTTCTGTTGAATTACATTTTGGCTTAAATGGAAAAGCATTTTAAAGAAAAGTTCTGTGAAACTTGTTGCAGTGTTTAGTGTACTGCTGCTGAGAAATATCATTCTCATTATGACATAGTCTTCCCTCTGAAGATTCATAGAAGTTACTTTAAATGAGGTCTTACTAACAAGACTAGTTACTGTTTTCTTAAGTGGATTGTTGCATATTTTATTATCTTAAAGACTCTGAGAATGTTTTAAAAATCAAAATTACTGAATGAACCAATATTACCAGTGTTCCTAAGGGAATATCTTTATCACAAAAATTCAAAATTAAATGCTAAGGGAATTGATCTTTTTTTTTTATTATATAAATAATTCATCATTTCTGAGTCATGTGAAGGAATCCCTGGGTGGCACACACACTTGAGGACTCAGCTACTGACTGAAAGGTTGATGGTTCAGGTCCATGCAGAGGCATCTTGGAAGAAAGGCAGTCTGCTTCTAAAAGATGGCAGCCATTGACAGTGCTATGGAGCACACTTCTTGTTTGAAACAGTAAAGGATTGTCTTAGTTACCTAGTGCTGCTTCAACAAAAATACCACAAAGTAGATGGCTTTAAAGAATAGGAATTCATTATCTCACAGATTTGGAGGCTAGGAGTCCCATTTCAGGGCCTTGGCAGGGTAGGGTCTCTGTGTCAGCTCTAGGGTAAGATCTTTGTCTCTTTCATCTTCTGTATCCCCTGTTGTTTTGTGGCAGATGATCTTCACAGGGTGTCTTCTTATATGTGTCTGTGTCTGTCTAAAGAGAAGAGCTCTGTGTCTGTAATTCCCCTTTATAAGACATAACTGAGAAAGGATTAGGTTAAGAACCCACCTTACTCCAGTATGACCTTATTAACTTAAAAGAAAAACTCTTTTTCCAAACAGGGTCACATTCATAATTATCAATGCAAAACCAAACGCACTGCCATCAAGTCAATTACAACTCATAGTGGCCCCCATTGGGTTTCCAAAGCTGGAAATCTTTCCAGAAGCAGACTGCCTCATTTTTCTTCTGAGGAGCAGCTGGTGAGATCAAACTGCTGACCTTTGGGTTAGCAGCCAAATTCCTTAACCACCACACCACCAGAACTCCTCTCAACATTTCGAATTTTCCACCTATTGAGTTATTTCATTCATTGTAATGAGTATTATTAGACGGGTACTTTGTTAGTTGTAAGGAGCTCTGGTGGTGTAGTGGGTAAAGCCTT